GTGCCCACCGCTGCTGCCGGGCGGGAGCTCTGTCGTGCGGGACGGTCGCGGCTGGAGACACGCTCTCCCGCAGGAAAGTGGCTGCAGCCCGAGGGAGAGCGCGCAGTGCCCGTCCACTGGGCTTGCTGCAAAATCCCCCGGTGAAGGCACCCGCGATGCGTGGGGAGGCTCTGCCTTCTCCCTATGGGCTTCAGGGTTCTCTACAAGCCTGAGGCTCCTCAGGCAGTGGCAGGGACGCTCGCCCACCTGGATTTGTCACTGTATAAGTTCTTAGGACGGGGCTCTCTGCCACAACTCGGGGCACTGGGACTCCCCCCCGCTGTTAATAAACCATTATTAAAACCCATCAGAGAAGATCGAATCCGTGAGGTTTATTTGTGGCTCTCAACTTCACATCCCAAAAGCTACTGGACAAACACAAAGATCTCTAGAGTTAGTGTTTCAGAAAAATCTCAAGGTGTTGTGGGTCTTGCTGAAATTTTATGGCAGAAGCTCTGGGTGAGCTGGGGGGAGGAAGGCTGGCCCTGTGCACACCAGCCTGTCCCAAAATGGCTCTTCCCAAAAGTCCTCTGGAGACCCAGCCTGATGCTGGTGCAACGCAGGCACAGATTGTGGCAGGTTTGGGGTAAATGCTCCATACAGCCCTTGGGGGGTGTGAAATGGGCAGGAAGAGGCCAGACTCCTGCCAGTGCTGGGCCTGGGCCAGCCCCACTGACAGCACCTGGCAGCAGCACAGCTTTGCACCATCCTCAGCATTCCTGGGACCAGGTCTCACTAGGTTTCTTCTACACCTGGAGACCTGCCTGGGGGGTCCAGCCCAGCTGGGAGTATTTGGAGAGGAGGAAACCTGCTGTGAGAGCCACTGGCAGGGCCAGCAGCCACGTCCAGTGCCAGCCATCAGAACCATCAGAGGAGTCATCCATCACCCGAGTTCTTAAGGGCTTCAATGTCCGCTGCCACTGAGTCAGGATGGCCTCTCTGGCCCCGCTCCACTTCCCCCGTCCCATCAGTCGGTACTGGTAGGGTGTGCAGGGGCCAAAGAAGACAGCCAGGGCCAGTTGAGGGTCTGTCAGGAGCAGCCTCAGCATGCTGGGCTTTACGCCAGCACATGAAGCAATTTCATCCGTGTAGCTGATAAAACTCATCTTCAAGTTCTCCCTCCTGGATAGATCCCTTCAATGGGACATAAAAGAGACAAAATCAAGTAACATCATCCCATCTCAGTTCCCAGCTCCATGGAAGGCAAAACCTCAGCTCAGACATTGGCCAAGCCCCAGTCTCAGATAAACCTAAAAGAGCCTCTGTGGGGTTGGTCCCTAGCAGTTACCTGGGTCAGGTAATAGGCAGAAGATTGTTTTGTCTCTGCAACCTAGTTGTGGCCCCCAAAGTGGTTTTAGCATAATACTGCCATTGTTATAATGCTCAAACACCCATGCTACATCCTTCCCCAAGGTTCACAGCTGTGGATTTGGCTGATTTTGAGAGGTAGAAGAGTAGACATCCACAGATAAGACTGCCAAGGAGACTGGGAAAAACTGGAAGTTGTAGAAAGCTTCCCATGATGGGAGGGACCTCCAGCTTTTTTCTGCTTGAGGCCTCATCTCCCTCACAGGAGGGAGGGTGTATGCTGAATCTGCTTCAGCAAATCTGGGACAGCCTCGAGTTTGTCTCCATTACACCTCAGATTCCCATATTGCTGTGTGACAGCATTGTGTCTGCAATCACTGTGGCTCCTGGTGACAATCTCTGTGGCTCTGTTTTGTCCCAGATTTTCATCAGTGTCCTATGAACCAGTTCTGCCTTGATGGCAGACCTAACCCAGCCTGAACTCTGCCTGGCCCGAGGTCCCCTCCTTGCTCCTGAAAGCTGCTGCAAGGCAGCATATCCACCATCACCCATCCCATAGCCTTGAGGACACATTTCAACTGCCTGGAAAATCGCAGTGTAACAAGGCAGGATGTTATCTCCCATGTACACAATAGATGACTTCAAGCCTTGTCTAATAATTATCTTGACCTGTCAAAAACTGCCACCAAACTGTCCCCTACCCACATCACCTGACTCCAATGGGGTATCTCGATGGGGCTTGGCCCTGACCCCAGCACTTCCTGCTGCCTGGATTTGGGAGGGACAAGCCACGAGATGGCACCCTTAGTCTGGAGGAAACTAACCTCCATCTTGATATGCTGGGAATAAGGAGGTCTGGCAGAGGGGACCTGCAGGTCTTGAGTCTTGACATAAGCTGCTCCAGAGCACTATGCCCTTGGTGTCTTGGTCTATCATCCATAAAGGAGCCACAACTACATATCCTCACACCTCACTCCGGGTGATGAGAAAATAAATGCATCCAATAATAGTTGGGTGTCCCCACGTGGGTCCCTCCCATGATTGCCACAAGGCCCCCCTTTCCCTGGGGTTATCCCGGCACACAGTGCCCATTGCACCACAAGCACAGGAGCATCATGCACCTTTTGACTGGCGGCTTCTTCTTCAAAACATCAGCTATCATTCTGGTGGTGGGAGGGAGCTTGTTCCAGCCTGAGAAGAACAGAGAAACCGGAGACATCCAGCAGCACCTTAAGCTGAAAAGTCCACCCCCTTCCCATGCTCCCAGCCCCTTCACCAAGAGTGTTTGTGCTTGCTGGCTATGGTAGCGTGTGCAGAGCAACAGTGATATGGGGATGCAGCTGGGGGCAGAAGCTACGGTGCTACTAATGCCCATGGCCACCATGGACATTGTGGCAGGAGTCAAAATATGCCCTAGGCTCTGTGGACAGCAGGTCAGGCTGCCTCAAACCTCCCACCCCAGTAGATTCCCCCGTTCTTGCAACCCATCTCCCACCTGCAAAGATCCCTGTCACCCAACGGGCCTGCATTTCTGCTCCCACCATCACAGAGCCAGTCAGCTGGACTAAGCCGATGATGGCCAGCGTTGGCTTCTCTAGCTGGGGAGGGAAGATGCATTTATAGAGTGAACGGTTATCATCAAAGAGGCTGCGAACTGAGTCTTCGAGGAAGGGAAACGAGAAGATGTAGCCTGTGGCAAAGAGCACCACATCGATGTTTTCCTCGGTTGTTCCAAAAACAGCAGAGCTTTCAGTGAACTCCTTCACGTTTGGCTTCAACACAACGGTCCCAGAGAGGAGGCAAAACGGCAGCTCTTCATTGACAATTATCTTAAAGTTGGAGCTTGCAGGTGCAAAAGAGGACAGCAATGTTAGCGTGTGGGAGGGACCTGAAATGTCCTTTGTGGCCTGAGTTCCCCTCCAATGGTTTGCTATTCCACAAATATCCCCTGACATTAAAATTTGAGCATTTCATGCCATTAAAAACCCCTGACCAACCAACAAAATAGTAATAAAAAACACCACACCTTTTGGCAGAAGCCAAGCCATAGTTCACATGGTTAAACCACGAATTGCACTTCCAAAACTTGATCCTCTTCATGAGGGCTGATGGGAGAAGCCAGTCCAGAAAATGGTTGAAGCGAGTGGTTCTGACCATGTCCAAGGGGAAGCCATGGTCTGAGACTCGGCTGAACACCCACGTGCTGCTCCTGGCACTAAGGAACACCTGAGGGAGAAGGCAGGTTTCAGCCTCCTGCCCAGACATCTTATTGCTGTTTTTGCCCTGAATGGCAAATCCTATCTCCCACATGTGGGAGCTGAGAGAGTTATCCCAAGGGAAGGAGACGGCGTTCAGATGAACGAACAGCTCATAGTAGCTTCTGCAAAGTTCACACAGCTGCTGAATAGCCACTCCTCAGGTGGCCCAAACTCACCAGGAATTGCGGAGCTTCTTCAATTGCCCTCAGTCTGAGGTGCTACTTATTGAGAAACCCAATGGGTAAATCTTCCTGCGTGTACCCCGAGCCACTGGCTTCTGTGGTCCCTGGCCAGGCTCAGCACTACCATGGAGCTGTACCTTTGCAGCCACGCGGCTCAGCTCCACAGAGAGGTCACCGCCGGTGTTGCCAATGCCAACCACAAGGACCCGCTTTCCCCGGAAAGCCTCCACGTCTTTGTATTCCCGACTGTGGAGGTACTGGCCTTTGAAGCGTGTGTCAATACCTAGGCAGAGAGCAGGGAGCATCTCCTACATACATTTGCTTGCCACACCCCTGACCCGCCACCTCCCACCTCTGCTTGCAGCTGAGAAGCTCATGGAGGTTTTGCCTCCCTGGGTGATGCCACACTCCTGCATCTCCCCAGCTTGGTCCTGATTTACAAATTCTCATGCAAGAGGTTTGCTGCATCTTGATGAGGTGTTTCTCCCCATTCCCAGGAATGGCCTCCACCATTCCCATGGGGTGAAGGTCCCGCCTGACCCAGTGTGGGGGCTTTGTGGAGCAGGAAGGCTCTCAGAGGAAAAAGAAGCCAAGGGACCCATGGGTGCTGGGTGAAGCCCCGGGGGGCAGTCCCAGCCCACCCACTGACGAGGCAGGGCTTACCTGGGAAAGAAGCCAATGGTAAGTAGGGCTCCTGGTAATGGCCGGTGCAAACCATGACGGCATCGAAGATGTGTGACTCCTGGATGCCACTGGTCTCAGTGACCACCTCCCACTGCCCTGAGGTGGCGAAATCCGGGCGCTTCCTCACACTAAGAGCTGTTGTCTTGCACCAAAGCCCAACAAAACAGCAGTCAAGGACTATGCTGCGGTTTGGAGAGGACCTGCCTGCAAAGGGCTGGAGCTGCCAGGGGCAGGCTGAGTCCCTGGGGAGCTGCATGTCACTGCTGAAGCTGTTAAATTCCACCCTGCACCTTTCCCCTGTTGATGGCATTGGGGGGGGGG